TTAGCCCCGGGAGCCAAACTGGAGGGGTGAGTCAGAAAAGCTGTTAACCAAGTGGGGGGGTTCCCCGCTAAATCTTCCCAAACCAAAATGTAGGGGACCTGATCTGGGTAGCCTTGATTGCCTGGTTGGAAAATGACAGCCTTGACCTTAGTGATCAGGTCTAGGGAGAGGGAACCTTGAATGGGCCATCCGACTCCGAAGGTGGGCCATTCTGCAGAACAAAGGGTGTCAAACTTACTTTTCTTAATGACCAGACCCACATTTAATGCCCTTTTTTTGACTTCTGTAAAGTGAGAGAGAATCAAAGACTTTGGGGTTGCTTGTCCCTGTCCCATTGTGGGATGAGAAGCAACCGCCAGGAGAGATAGAACAAAAAGGGTGAAAGCAACAATAACTCCACACACACAGAACACTCTCCACCACTCGCTTGGACTGGTCCTTCTGTCACGCTGGTGCGCACCCCATTCAACCTCCTCACCGTCCAATTTGGATATCAGGCTGAAAGGCGTCCACTTGACAGGTGGTCGGTCAACTATTTCAATTAGTTCTTCACCTGGTGCCAGGATTCCTGAAATGCTCGAGCCCAAATGAGAGGAAAGCCTCTCCCAGCAGGACCTTGTGGTCCCCTTAACGAGATTCCCAGAATGATTCTCCCCGGGGATTGGCCAAATCCCCACCGCGGCCCAAACGGGAACAATCATCTACCAATTAGTTCCCTCCAAATGAGAATCTCAGACTCTCCCAATGCCTAGGACTTGGAATCACCTCTGCTTTCTGGTGGACGGTCTGCCTTCTCGAAAAAGGGTATCTTGGTGGGACCTCCAAATGTTAGGGTCCGAGAATCCTATTCCTCTGAGATACAGAGAGTCACACGTGAATGCAATCAACAAAGCAGAGTTTATTGAGCTGGCAAGCCAGGGTCAAGCTCCCACACAGACACACAGGTCCGATTGGGCAGACAAGACCCCGAGCCTCTTTAGGGAAGATCTTATATAGGCCCCTACCGGCCGTTACAGCAGAAGCCCGTGCAGTACATAGCCAATGAGTTTGTAACACCACATACATTTCCAGCCTATCCATTTAAGAGTACATTACTTCTTAGCCTATAGATTCAAGGGTCAGTATTCGCGCACACGGTTACATTTAGCAAGCAGGCAGGGCACATCTTGCACGTACTTCTAGTCGTCTTTCGCAATCTGCTCACATTCCTCACATTCCTCACATTCCACCTGCCCCCATCCTGTTTATCTTATCCTGCACGGGGCATCCTGTACTGGCTTTACTGGTTTCTGCTATGGGGATCTGCTGGGACAAAGGGCACATCCTTTCAAGGGCAGGCCCTGAATCACCTGCCATGTGGAGGGATGCTGGTCCTCATCACTGACCCTGTATTGCTCATTGCCTGAAGCTCTGAAGCTCTCAGCACACCCATGACTCCACCCTGATTCCTTATCTGGGCCCCACCTCACCCTGCCCCAGTCTGACTCCCAACCAACAGTCCAGCTTGAAGCTCCTGGTGCAGAGGGCTGCCCTCCCTTCCCCAGTGCTCCCCTGGACTATTCGGCGAGGAGCACTGAAGTGACTGATGTCTGTCCACAGGGGAAAGGATAAACAAAAGTCTATCCATACAATAGACACGATTCAGCCTGAGGAAGGAAGGAAGGAGCTGTCAGGCACAGTAGCTTACACCTGCTACTCAGAAGGGGGAAGATTGGAACAATTGCTGTTTGCAACCACCCCCGGTAAATGTTAGCAACCTCAACAAACACGCCAGGGGTCATATGTCTATAATTCCAGATTAATCCATTGATGGATTCAAATTTAAATATAGTACTGGGGAAGGTGGAACTGTGCAGGTGGGGCCTGGTTGGGGAAGTGGTCATGGTGGGGAGGGGGGACATGCCCTGCAGAGACACACAGCAGGCCTTTGGTACCCCCCCATCTATGGCTCCAAGGAGGCCACCCAGCTTCCTCTAAGGACAGATTTCATATTTTCACTGCATCACGTGCCCTTTTGGCTTGGGAGGACTCCCTTAACCCTTACCTTGCTTTTTGGGCACTATTTTGCTTTGTGGAGGCAGATTTTCCCAAAATCAAGGGCAGAGAAACACCCAGCCAATAACACAAGCTAAACACGACTGAGCGTAACTTGGGAGGCACTGAGCTATGTAAAGAACACACAGGAATTCAAAATTTTTGTTTTTGAAATTTTTTCTGATTTTTTAAAAAACTTCATTGTTTTTGTTGACTGAGCTTGATTTAAATCACACTTACTAAATCTATGAATAAGGTAGGCTTACTGTATGTTACCACAATAAAAAAATACTCATGTACAAAAAAAAAATCAAAGCAAAAATAAAGCCCACCAATGACTCCAAGCAGAGTTGAGATTTGTGCTGGAGAGGCCTGGGGAACATGAAGACAGAGCTGGACAGATGGATCCCTGCACAGGGAAGGAGTTGAAGGGGCTGGGAGCCCAGACTCTGGAGTGGGAGGACTCCAAGCACAGAGGCCCAGGTGGCCTCGCCCGACACACACACTCCGCCCTTACTGGTGAAACGGGAGGAGGAGTACGGTTCATTAAACAGCTTCTACAAGCCAGGCAGCATGGCTGTGGTGCTGTCTGGTCCCCTCTCCACAGATGGGGAATGGAGGTGATGATAGGTGGAATGACTTGCTCCATGTACCCAGCAGGATATGGGGAAACTGGGAGTCCATCCAGAATCCGTGTGGTCCGGTGCTCCATTCTGCCCCCATGGGAGCTTCCAGCAGTGGAAAAGCCTGGGGCTTAGGTGTACAGACTTTGTGTAGCCCCTCTGAGCAAAGCCCATGACTTAGCATATCCCTTGGGGCAAGGGGGAACTAGCACACACTCTCAGACCAGGCCCACCTGGATGGACCCAAGGTCTCCATCGGTGCTTCTTGGCTTACCTCTCTGGTCACAGCTAATTGACTCAGGGGTGGAACCCTGGTCCACAATGGACTAATGAGAGTCCTTTCCTGGGATTTTTCACACTGCAGCTGGGGTAACCATCCAGTTATTTTGATGGTCCCTGACAATACTTGTATAAAGACACTGAAACGAGTGTTCAAAGACAAGCAAACACAATGGAGCTTGAACTGTTGGAGTTAGATTGCAGATCAACAGACACCCCAAATCACAATGGCTTAAATGAACAAAATTGAATCCTCTCCTAGCTAGATGGTCCCGGGACCAGGATCCTTTTCCTTGACGCTCTGCTCTTTCCATGTGGCTTCCAATTCCTGGTGCAAGTGCCAGCCATGACTGCTGCAGCCTGGCCACCTGGAAGCAGTAAAACAGGAAGAGCACATCTCTGCATTGAGGGCATTTCCCTGTAGGTGTATAGGCCAGGTTCTGGGGGCTCACCTGGGCTGCTGCCCAGACCACCTGGTCAGGGTCAAAAAGGTGATTTCACAGAGGACAGGAAGCCACTTCAATGAATGTGATGCTCCAGTGTCCTTACCGAGAAATGGCCCTTACCACCCACAGGTAGCTCTGTCCAGCCTGGCCAACCTCAAGGAGATCAGATTTTTCCATGGCAGCCCAGGGCCCCAGCACAAGGCTCCCCCACATGAGCAGCAGCTTTCTGGTTGCCCATGACCCAAGCCCCAAACCCACAGCACCTCACTTTTGCCAGAGACAGTTGAAAAGACACAGATACACTCCGATCCAAGGGGAGGGGACCTAAGCCCCTTCTCAATGGAGGAGCATTGGAGTCACAGAGGGCACAAAGGAAGGCTTACTTTTGAGGTCATCTTGTGAAAACACAGGCTTCACACAGACCTATTAACAGAAAGGACAGAGAGGTCTCACTTGTGGCTTGGTCTCTACCTCATATCCCCCTTAACCAGTCACTGGCTTCCATAAGATGGTGTCTGAGTTACTGGGTGTTTGGTCGCATCTCACAAGGGGCTCCTCGTGAGCCTCAGGTACTCCAGGGAGGCTGAGAGAGGACAGCACTTGCATCACTAATGGGAGAGGGGCACTGCAGGGCAGTGTCTCTAACCCCCTGCATGTTAGAACCCCAAGGACCTTTGGAAAACCTAGGGCTGGGTCTATGCTCAAACCAGCTAATCAGAATGTCTGGACCGGGCCATGGCCTCAGGATTGTTTCAAACTTATGTGACTGGGAAGGACAGTAGATCCTCAAGTCCTTAGGGACCACAAGGAAAGTGTTGACATTCTCCTGATGGCCTCTACTAACTTCTTCTCCCTCACATCTGACCAAATGCCTCTATGCAAGCCTTGTATCTTCCCACCCCATGAGAGAACCCGTCTTTATCCCCAAAGACACCACTAAAATGAGCTGTTGTATTCTAGATAGTAAGTATCCCAAAGGGCACGTGTGGAAGTCTTGGTCCCCAGCTGATGATGCTGTTGGGAAGTCATGGAACCTTTAGGAGGGATGGCCTAGTGGGAAGAAGTGAGGTCATCAGGGGTGTGCCCTTGAAGGGCTCTCTCTCTTCTCTTTCTCTCTCTGTTTCTTGCCTGCTGGGAGCAAGGTGAGCAGCTTTGCCCCACCATGCTCTCTTGCTACAGTGCTCTACCTCAGAACAGAGACAAAGCAATGGGGCCACGTGACCATGCACCAAAACCTCTGAAACTGTGAGCCAAAATTAAGTTTCCCTCCTTTTAAGTTGACTTCCTCAGTTATTTGTCACAGCAGCAGAAAGCTGACTCACACACCAGGGTACTGGGTGAAACAGATTTCACTAGAAACTTGGGAGGGTGGCAAAAATAATTTCACAGACAACAGGAAGCCACCTAACAGATGTGATTCTTCAGTGTCCCTACCAAGAAGTGGCTGTTATCACCCACAAGTAGCTCTTGCTACCTGTTCCTCATCTTTATCCTTTCCTGGCACTAAGGGAGAACTCTCTCCCTCCTCCTTTTCTGTTGGGCCTCCATTCAGTCTCTCACACTGCTGAGGTGTAGTGACAACAACAGAAATCTTCTTTTTTTTTTTTTTTTTAAACCAGAAAGAAATTTTATTGTGTAGTTTATAGAAGTGTGACTAGTATTCTTCTGTACAAAGCACACAACAGTTTTAAATACAACTGAGAGAAATGAGTCCTATGACAATGTTGGTTTGATACAAGCCAAACTTTACAGACACAATAAAAAAAATTTAAAATTATCTTCTTTCTCCAAAGAGTCCATTGTGCATTTTTTAGAGCAGACATGGGGACATATTCCAGGCAAGGTCACAATGGCATTTTATTGCCCTCGATGCTGATTTTCACTGCATGTGCAGATCTGCTTTTTTTCCTGATATCTGTGAATTTTCTCATCTGTTTATCCAGTCGACTGATACCTTTCTTGGAGGATGCCTGAAACCTGGATGACTCCATTTCCACATTCCACTTGGGCCTGACAACATAGTCTTTGTTTGATGGCATTGGGACCCTTGCACGGGCACAGAATCCAGGATCTCCAGGTCTAAGAGCCTTTTCCTCTCCTGTCAACACCTTCTCCAGGTCTCTTCTCGGTGTCTGACCACCAGTGCTGCTCATTCTTCGTCTTTGAGGCATTTGTTCTAGATCTCTCTGCTCTCTTTCTTCTCTTGTCATTCCTTTGTAGTTTGAGGTAAGACCAAATATAGGCCGAGACCACTCATTGATTAATTTCCCTGCCATATCCTTGTTGGACCTTGATTCCTTGGGGTGTTTATAGAGATACATCACTGCTCGTCCAATCCCACTATGTTTCAGGGTCTCCTGGCTCACACTAGGTAGCTCTTGCAGAATCTTCAGCAGCTCCTCCCGAATCTTTAGTGCTGGCAAACTCCTATCTGGAAGAGGTGAGAGCCATTCTTTGATGGCAGACATCACACCACTGTCAATAAATGTTTCTTTAAGGTCCTGCTTCTTAAGGTGCATAACCACAGTAGGCAATAAGGTTAATTTCTTCAGTGCTGGCTTTTTCTGATTATTCAGCTGTCTGTCTTCCTCAGCAGCTTCATTCATCTTGACAATCATGGCACTCACAACAGAAATCTTCTTATCCTGCTATCAAAAGAACTTTACCTCCTCCTTCCTATGGGCCTTTATCTCAACATCACCCCATTAAGAACAACCAGAACTGCCCCTTTCTGAACAAAAGGCATTATTACTCCCCACGGTAATGAACACCCTAAACAGAAGGGCTGTCCATTTACTCCATCTCCCACCCTAGAACACAAGCATCTCTGCAGGTTGGAAAGACATTGCCCCATGCTTGCGCTTCCGGTGGTGCTGGACAAAATCAACCTGGCTCTTCTGCTCAGGATAAACTGAGCAACAAGGTTTTTGTCTGAATATTCTTAAAGGCAAAAGAGAGCTAACAAGATAGAGAATCGCCTGGCTGGGACACAGAGAAAGGAGAAAAAGAGAACAGATACTCCTGGCCTGCTTTCCCTAGCAGCATTTGTAGGTCCATCAGAAGTGGCTGAAAGAATGGTGCTGAGAACTTCTGACAACTTCACAGGACCCAAGGTCCACAAAGACTGAACACCTGTCCCCAAGCACAGCTGGGGTTCTGATCAAAGCACCCTCACAACAGAGGTGAGCAGCAACTAGACAGCATTCATGGAGACCAAAGCACAGCTCAGAAACATCATCTGACAGTGAGGATGATGCTAGTACCAAGCACCTGCCAGAAGCCAGGGCGGACCAGGTGTGGTGAGTCATTCTTGTAATTCCAGCTACATGGGAAGCAGAGATCTGGAGGATCATGGTTCAAGGTCAGCCTGAACAAAAATGTTCTTGAGACCGCATCTTAGCCAATAGTTGGACATGGTGGGGTACACCGTCACCCCAGCTATATGGGAAATGTAAACAGGAAGACCACCATCTGGGTCACGTGGACAAAAACATGAGACCCTATGTGAAAAAGAACTAACACAAAAAGGGCTAGGGCTGTGGCTCAAGTGGTAGAGAGTACCTGCCTAGCAAGCAAAAGACCCTGAGTTCACCAGTATTACAAAAAAAGAAAAAAGAAAGAAAGAAAGAAAAACCAGAGCAGGTCTTCTTTAGAGGAAGACAATGCCATCTGAGGTCTGAAATTACTCTTCATAGTTTTCCGAATGTAGACCAGGCATGCCGTCACCTCCCTCATCACATTCCTAACCAGGCACATGGGAGACAGGCAGGACAAAGGCAGCAGAAACAACTGAGAACAGAAACAGACCTGTGGGTGCAGAGACAAGGAGGGACCACTCGCAGACTTGAAAGTGCTATGCTCGTACATTTGAGAGTGACACTGAGGCCTTGGGCAGGAAACTGAAAATTATCTGATTAAGACAGCAGATTTGAAACACAAGACTTATGTAGATATTTGAGAGCTAAGGCACACACACCAGGCTGAACAAGTGTGGACCCACCTTTCTCGGACCACAGTGCTGCAGGACACGGCAGTGAGTGCAGCAGGATGGTTTATAGCTTGGAAGGATTTGCAGTGACCTCTGTTGGACACAGCACAAGCCATCAGCTTGAAGAGGTCCGTGGTTTCCACATTCAGTAGCTATGTTCCTTTTGATGGTGTCATTATCTTTGCAAAGCTGGGTTTTCAGAGGCTTTGAATTACTTCATGAAAATCAGTAAGAAGCAGGTCTGTCCAGCCTGATCACAGTGACTGAATAGCTGTGAAGGGCCAACAAAGTGACTAAGTTGTTGGAGGCCTGGCTCCCATGGTAGAGTACTTGCCGAGCTAGTGCAAGGCCCGGGGTTCAATCCCCAGTACCATAAAATAAATGAATGAGTGAGTGAATAAATAAATAGATGTTGTTATGACATATTTACTTTTTAAAAGTAACAATAACAAAACCTTTAGAAATGTTCATGAAAACTTGGTAAGGAGAGCCAGGCTCTGGTGACTCATGCCTGTAATCCTAGCTACTTGGGAAGCTGACATCAGAAGGATTTTGGTTCAAGGCCAGCTGGGATAAATAGTTTGTGAGACCCAGTCTCCAAAACAACCAGAGAAAAATGGACTGGAGGTGAGGCTCAAGTGGTATAGCACCTGTGCTTTGCAAGCATGAAGTCCTGAGTTCAAACCCCAGTCCCACCAAACATTTTTTTAAAAAACAAGAAAGTAAAGAAGGGTACAGTAGCTAAAATTTAAAACTCCTGAGAGGAACTCAACTGTAGATTGAAACCAGCAGAAAGAAAAATCAGCAACTTGGAAAATAGGTCAACTGAGATTATGAAAACCAAAGAACAGAAAAAGAGAGTGAAGGAAAATGAACAGAGCCTCAAGACATAAACATATGGGAGTTCCAGAAGTGCAGGGGGAGGAGAAAGGAGAGAAACACGTATTTAAAGACATAATGGCAGAAAACTTCCCCATGCCACTCTAAAGCAGTAACCTGAATATCCAGGTAGCCCAAAAAATGATGAAGAAGATTAATGCAGAGAGATCCACAGATACATCATAGCAAAACTGCTGGAAGTCCAACAAGGAGAAAACCCTAAAATCAGCAAGAGGAAACAGTGCAGAGCAACTCAATCAGGTTAACAGCTGACTTCCCAGCAGGAGCAATGCTAGTAGGAGCACAGTGGAATGACATAGCCGAAGAAATAAAAAGAAAAACTACTTCACAAGAATTGTATATCCAGCAAAACTGTCTTTTATAATGAAGCTGAAATACTAGCAGAACCACCTTCCAAAAAATACTAAAGGGAGTTCTCTAAGCTGAAAGCAAGTAAATTAAAAGTATTAATTACAAAAGTCAGAATAAATGCATTTTTCTTTGTATCATAATTAATGTGACAGAGAAATGTAATCTGTGTAATATATCTGTCAGTAATAGCATAAAAGATGTCAGTAGGTTGAAAGTCTTTTTTTGTTTGTTTGGTGATACTGGGATTTGAACTCAGGGCCTCTCATTTGCTAGGCAGGTGCTCTACCACTTTAGCCACTCCACCAGCCTGTGAGTCTTCTTCATATAAGACTAAAGAACAATTTTTGTTGGTTTTGTGATGTTAATACATGTGATTTATATAACAACAATATCCTAAGAAACGTGTAAAGGGAATAGAGCTACAGAGGTGTCATGCTCCTATAAATCAATATGATTAAGCTAGTATAAACCTGAAACTGATTCTAATAAGGTAAGATATGTATGGCAAATCCAAGAACACCATTTACAAAACCCTCAAAACTAAAGTGGAAGAAATTAAGAACTTTAAAAGCTAATTAGAAAATATTCACTTAATGCAGAAGAAGAAGAAAGGGGGAAGAAGACACAAAGTCTGAAGTCATATAAAAATCAAAGTGACAAAATCCATTATATCAATAATAACATTACTGTGAGTGGATTAAACAAGCCAATCAAAAGGCAGAGATGTGGGGCTGTACTTTAAAAACATGAATATGTACACACATACACATGTGTATATATACATACATATACACACACACATATACGCTCACAAACACATACGTGTGCTGTGTACAGAGGACAGATCAGATTCAAAGTTACGTATAAATTAGAAGTAAAAGTGCGGAACAAGAACTATCATGCAATCAGCAACCACAGTAAAACTGGCATGGTTGTACTCATGTCAGACAAAATGGACATTGTGTTGGTCAGCCTTTGCATCGCTATGACAAAACTCCTGACACAAAGGCCCTAGGGGAGGAAGGATTTATTTTTGCTCATGATTTCAAAGAGTTAAGTCCACAGTCCATGGCTCCATTGATTCTGGGTGTGGTGAGGCAGAACATCAGGAGGAGGAGGTATTCCCCTATGGTGGACAGGAAGTAGAGAACAGCAGTAACAGGAAGGGGCCAGGGCAAGACCCACCCCAAGGAACCCACTTCCTCCAATCAGGCCCCACTTTTCAGCATTCCACCTCCTCCCAGCAGTCTACTCAAATTTTGATTCCATCAACAGATCAAACCAGTGATTAGGTCAGAGCCCTCATGTTCTAATCATCTCTGGCAATGTCCCCACAGACACACCCAGAGCAGTGCCTCACTCAGCATCGAGGCGTTTCTCAAGCCAATCATGGTCAACCATCACAGATTTTAAAACAAACAAGAAAAATGTCGCTAGAAACCGGGACGTTTCGCGATGATGCAAGGGTCAATCGGGAAGACGTGTTATAATCATATACGCAGCAAACGTATGGCAGAGCACCAAAATACTGCAGTGAAGTTGACAGAAATGGAGAGATGACTCCACTTCAGTAACACCCCACTTTTAATGATGGATAGAAAGACCAGGCAGAGGAGTCAGGGCAGAGACTGTGGCTCCAGGGAGTCCCAATGGACACCCTTGACCATACATCCCCAAAAGCCAATTTAAAGAGACAGCAGCGTGAAGGCAGGAAAGGAGCCTTATTAACAGCGTGGCCACACCGGGAAGGACAGAGGTCAAAGGAGATACAATCTGTCTTCAAAGTGCTCATGTCAGTCAGTGCTACAGAGGACAGAGAAGGGCAGGAAGGCTTGAAGTTTTCCTGGTCAGAGCCCTGGACCCACAGGGCTTTGTCAATACCAGAAAGGGCTCTCTGTTGCGTAGATGGTAATTTTGGTCCCTTGTCTTAAGATGGTCATCATCAGATGTCTTGCTTTTGGGGTCCCCAAACTGTAGGGGAGAAAGACTGGGGTCAGCTCCGAAGGAAGGAACAGAAGCTGGAGGGACAGAAACAAAATGTCATCAACTGTCAGTGGCTGGGACCTCACAGTAAGACACCAAAAGGGAAATCAGAAAACACTTTCCCATGAATCAAAAGGAAGATACACCACACCAGAACCTATAGGATGCAGCAAAAGCAGTACCTACAGGGAGATTTATAGCTGCAACGCCTACATGAGAAGGAGGAAAGTGTCAAATTTCCTTCCACCTTCCAGCACTGGAAAAAGGAGAAAACAAAGAGTAAAATCCCCAGCAGGAACAGGGTCACTCAGAAACTGATGAAATAAAGAATACAAAAACCATGGAGAAAGTCAGTGAAACCAAAAGCTACTTCTCTAAAAAGACCAACAAAATTGAGAAAATT